AGAGATGTGTTTATTTAGCTTCTAAATAAGGGGAGGGATTTGCCATATAAGGAGACTGAAGGGGGGGTTGGGTTGGAATCAGTGCAGAATAGCATAACCATGAAAAATTGGAAATAAAGTAAGAAATTGCCCCTTTCTTGCCAACATGCACTGCAGGACAAAAAGCTGTGTTGTGACACAGATATGAAACTGCAGAAGTATAGAGCGCCCTAGTCCTAGCCTCATAGTAGGCCAATGAACAAAATTACAAAAATGTACTTGCCAAAAGAACGATGAAAACAGATTTGAGGAGGAAGTATTGGGAACGGATCAGCTGTACGTTTTTCCTAAAGGAAAGTAGGGCGAACTGTATCAAAGCAACCCCTTGATCAGAATCGGACAGCAAGGATAGAGTTGGAATGGATTTGTCAAATAATAGGTCCTAAAGAACACCTCCAATTCATTTGCTAAAAGATGGGATGGAAAATATCATTTTACGCCCTACGTCTCTGAATATTTGTCACATTTGTATTCTCGAGGAAAAATATCAAACTTTTTCAATTCATTTTACTTACATATTGGTATAGAAATAAAAAATATAATTTACATATCAAAAAACTACATTAAAAGTTGTTCGAAATAAAAGGCGTCAAGAATATTTTATTTTATCAAATAATCAATAAAAACGTAGAAATAAACAAAAGTTACCGCGATTGCTGAAAAAGCAAATGTTGCAAATATTTAGGGACGGGGGACTATATAATATATTATACTTATGCATCACTATGTTTTGTTATTCTACATTTATTTTTCATAAAAATATTTATTTCATACTTTTGTCTTATACTCACATTTATGTGTAAAATATAAAATATAATTAACAAGTATGATTGTTAAAATAGCAAATGCGTTTGCTATATACCCGGAGTATACCTTTGGTGTCCCCATAGTATTTTCCTTTCTTAAAAGGATAAAGCTATTTGTACCCCACATTTTTGTACCCCATTTTGTACCCCGCAGCTTTGCACCAACACTTTGTGTTGGTGTAAAACTAATTTTTGTTAATGTACCAACACTTTGTGTCTGTGTAAATTATTGTTAACGCACCAACACTTGTGTCGGTGTAAACCATCAAAATGTTTGTGTATAACTACGATGTACAAATGGGGTACAATTTGTGGTGTAAATGTAGCATGACCCTTCTTAAAATAGCAACTTTGTTATAGTTTACCCTTCCCTTTGGAGTGCACACAAATAAAGGATAATTACTAAACTTGCTATCGAGTATTTTTTACTAAACTTGCTATTGAGTATTTTTTACAATTGATACAGTTTGACTTTTTTAGTTCAATTGTGGCATTCTTTGGCTGCGAATTATGGAAAAAATATTTTTAATTATAATGTAAATTTAATAAAATTGGATTTATTTTAAGATATAGTTTTGAAATATCAAATTTTTATAGTATTTAATTATTTTAAACTACGTTTAATTCGTCGTTAGAGAGTACTACAGTTTGACCAAAAAAGTCAAACTGTATCAATCTTTTAGAGGCGAAGGGAAGGGAGTACAACCTCATGGCTAGCATTAGCTTCAAGGTTGGAGATGTTCTAACACCACCCCATTTGAGCCTCATGGCTAGCATTACAACCTCTAGTGCTAGTAGTCCTAGCACCTACTCCTTCCGTGCCAGAATTATCTCCTTAATTTCCAAATATTAATTGTGTTGGCATTTATTTTATTGATTAGGAAATAAAATATTGTACTCTCTCCGTCTAGAAATGTTCTTCTCATTTGTCTTTTTACTGTCTCGAATGCTACACTTTGACACTTAATATATATATTTATACATAGTCTACACATATATTTTGCATATAAAAATGTCTTATACTTTGAGATATCAATAGAGAAACAAGATATAAAAATAAAAAATTAAGAAAAACTATGTATAACAGATCGGGTACACAGATCAACGGTTATTTAAATGGATGTCAATACGAAGCGGATTATAGACGGAACGGATGTATGATTACCAAATCCATATCCGTTTAGCAATGGGATATCCTTAATCGGATGCGGATAATAACCGCTTTTAACGGATGCAGATATTTTTCATATAAACGAATACAGGTGTGGACGGTAATCAAATTTTCGGTTATCCATTTACAACCCGGCCTAACGGAGGGGAAGGAGCAGAAGTACGAGAAGTAGAAAGGTGGAGGACCAAAGAGAATTCACAATGGCAACACAATGCCTTATCTTGCCTAGCCATGTCAGCAAATACCACCCAAATTATGGCATTCCGCACTGAATAGGACTAAAACATAAGTTATTTTCCAATTTAGAAATTAAACTTTTTTATTCCTTAAATAGGACTTAATAATGATTAGTGAGAAGAATAATGTCCAAGTAATGACTAACAGATAATGACTAATGGTCCTACATTGAGAAATAAAAACATATGATCCTTTTAGTCCTATTTACGTATAAAGTTACCCATATCCGAATCCATAAATTTTATTATGTATTTGTGTGTTCCTTGAACATTTAGGAGTGCTTATTTGCAGTGCTTATTTTATTACTCCCTCCGTCCCGGACTATTCGTCCAGTTTTGACTTTTGGAACTGTTCATCTAAGCACTTTGACTCATCAAATTCTCTCAATGTGTAAGCCTAAATATAGTCATGTGTGATCTTGTTTGATTTGTCTTAACATATAGATTATTAATATATAATTTCTATAATTTTTTAATATACAAATTACAAGATAAAATGGATTAAAGAAGTGCATTGGATGGTGTGTAAAAATGAAAATAGACAAATACTCTGGGACGGAAATAGTATTTATTATTTGATTATGCAGTGCCTATTTGATTTTTACTTGATTCTAATAATATGCATTTATAAAAAAAATTGGGATTTTGATTCAATATGGATGAACAAAAAAGATGAACAAACATAGAGCCGAAAAATCAATAAATAAATCTTCTCAAGTACGGAGTATATAAAATTCCATGTAAATCAATAAAAGAGTTTGTTAAACTCTACATGAAATTAATGGATTTTCTAAATCGATTACCTTCTTAAAGTCCAAAAAAATCCTAAAGACTTCTAATTGAATACCCTCCCCTAAATTTGAGAAAACCTAGAAAAAGTTAGAAAAATAAAAATTGGAAAGAAATAGAAGAAATTTGAAATGTGAAGTTAAAGGTGCATTTAGTTGTGAAAAAAGTTGTTTTTAGAATTCCACTAAAAACCACTCCCCCTACATTGAATAGTGTTTTTTGATCCTAAAGTTCTTATGTAAAATATGAATTTTCTTACACTTTTCATAGAATTGCAAGGGAATCTTTTTTTATTTATAAAATGGTCAATTCTTTTATGATATCAACATATTAGGGTTCATAAATGAACATAGATCTTAAGACCATGTAAGAATTTGCCCCATCTTTTCCATAGTTTAATTAAAAAAAGTTCTTTAAAAAAATCTATTACTTGTTAGAAAAGAGACATTATTGATATCCGNAGGGGCAAGGACAGGGGATCGGGGTGGACGGAGAAATGAACTTGATGAATCAGAGTACTCGAGGGTTGAGCAGAAAAATGAACCTTCTTCTAAAAGAAACGAAAATAGATTTTTGTTATTGAGGAAACATGAAAATACCAAAACAGGAGTAAAAAAACATGAGTTCACACTATCATTGTCACACTGTCACACTCACCGCATTGTCACATTGTAACAACAACGTACACCGCCTCACTACCATTCGTCTTCGCCGGTCACCCGGGTGCCTTCGCAAACTACTGACAGTTGACCAATCACACTAATATACTCCGTATTACACTTTCATAACATTTAATCACACTGCCAACGAATACTTTTAGATCACACTTCCATTATACTCTTATTTTGGACTTAAAAACATAGGACTTCTATTTTCATATTTTTATACTTTTTTATTCATATGAAGGACGATTTCTTCACATTTTTCTAAAAAATGATTACCTAGTACTTATGCAACCGAACTAAGAAAGTAAAGTTGATTTTTTTAGATTTTTTCTCCCAACGGAATAGTTTATAATTCAAAAAATAAAAATTAAATTACATAACTAAAATAAAATTTAGTTCTAATGGTGCTATGCATCGCACTATTTGAAATAGTGGTTAAAATAAGAGAAATTTACCTATATAGGACTAAAAATAATGACTTTCTTAATATAGTAGCATATGTTTTTATTTTCCAATGTAAGACTTTTGGTCATTATGAGTTAGTCATTATTCAAATAAATGCCCATCATTTCTGGACATTAATCTTATCACTAGTCATTATTAAGTCATATTTAGGGAATAAAAAAGTTTAAGTCCTTACATTGGAAAATGACTTATGTTTTAATCATATTTAGTGCAAATTTCACTTAAAATAAATATCAAAGTATAGACTATATAATTTGGGATCCAGATTATTTATTGTATGAGGGCAACGAGGGTAAATTTGGGCTCACCTAGCCCGTTAGCGGGCGCGAAAAGAATGCTGTGGGCCCAGTAATTCGCATAACTGCTGCAGTCCTGTATATGCGTAAACCTTGAAGGGCAGTAGCTAGAAACCCGTAACAGTGGGCCGCAGGGTTCCCCACATGAAGAGGAAGTTCCCTTCCCGGCGGAGAAAGAAGGGCTCTGAGAGACGCAAGAAGATGAAAGGAATCAGCCGCGTCAACGACAATCTTTTCGGCTCTTCACCGGAACCCTGCCCAGCGACGATTCCCGACGACGACAATCGCGCGGATACGAAATCCGCCGGATTCGGCTCCCAATCTTTGGCTCTCAAGCGGCTTCTGATCAGCGTGGCGGAGAGCATATGCAAGCGTCTCGAGGGAACGCCGTCGTCAGCATGTCCGATCCGCCGCCACGACGACGCGAAGATGAAGGGAGTCGCCGTCTCCAAATGCTCGATGAGGGAAATTCCCCTGTTTGCACGGGGGAGGAGCCGCTGCGAGCCCGGCGAGCCGTCGCGGGCCTTCTGCTCGATTTGCGATGATGCGAAGCCTCCTAGCGCGATGAAGAGCGGGACGGATTGCGAGCACCGGTACTGCGAGGGTTGCATCAGGGAATACGTCAGGGCGGAAATCAAAAGCGACATACACGGGATCAAATGCCCCAATTCGGACTGCAAGAAGAATCTGAGCACCAATTTCTGTCTAGATACATTGGAGGATTCAAAGGAACTCCTCCAAACATGGGTCTCCGCCAAGAAGGAGACAGAAGCCCTGGCAAAACCCACACGAATAAGATGCCCGTTCAAGGATTGCTCCAGATTGTTCTTGGATGACAGAAAGGGTTTCTTGATCAAAGCGTGCCCCCAGTGCTGGAGGCTTTTCTGCAGGAAGTGTGAGGTGCAATGGCATATGGGAGTGGGGTGTGGCCAGTATATGTTCTCGTTGCGATTGGAAGCGCTAAGGCGGCGGCAGGAGGAGGATGAGGAAGTGGACAACATATTCAGAATCATCAATAGTAATGGAGCAGTGTTTATTGATCCTTATGCATCTCATAGAATAAGAAGGGTACCAAGGAACATGGTGCCTCTGATATTCTGCAGAATGCATTCACAAATGGATGAATAAGATGAAGAAGGAGATAAAGCTTAGAATTGATCATCATCGTCTCTCCAACTTTAGTTTTACCTCAATTGGCAAGAAAGGGTAAGCTGCATATATAGGTACACCATTACTTTTATCTCTGGTAATGTGTTTGGTATGTACCCCAACTAGTAGTATGTCCTACTTTGGTTCCACAACACCCTCTTGTGACACCAGTGGATGGGCACTTTAGACTCTTTCCCTCAAATTTGTACTCCATCGAAATTGCTCTTATATGTCACTTTTACTAGCTTAGAACACATCATCCGCATTACTCCAACTCCATCGGAATTTCTTAATCTGGTGAAAATCCAAGAAGGAATTATAATCTGGAGATATATACACATATTCTACATCACTATATGTACTTTAATTAGTTGGTAAATATAATTTTGTGTGAACCTTTTTACCTTTTTACGTAAGAATGTACTAGACTCGTACCCGTGCGATGCACGGGCGGAAAAATTAATTTTATTTAGTCATGAAATGAAAAAGAAATGATACAAAAATTAAAAGAAAACAAAATATATTTAAAATACCCAAAATAAGGTAAAGTACATGAACGACCGTAGTCGATATACAATGTTATAAGTTTTGGAACACTTCTTTATAAACTACATTTGTAGTTATGTTCGTTGACGGAAGGTCTTTATTGCAAATTAAGATTTTTAATCCCTCGCGACTTGTAACACGTGAAATTGCAACATAGAGTTGACCGTGGCTGAATACTGGTTTCTTGAGTAGCAATCCAACATGGGACAAAGATTGGCCTTGACTTTTGTTAATTGTCATAGCATACGAAGTCATGATAGGGAATTGTTTCCTTTGAAATCTAAAAGGAATTCTTGCATTTGACGATGTGAGAGATAACCGTGGAATAACTACTTCTTGGCTGACATTTTTTTCTGTCATCACCGTGGCCTGAATAAGGTGATTGCCAAGTCGTGTTACTATCAACCTTGTTCCATTGCAAAGACCGGATGATTGATCAATATTTCTTAACAACATAATCGGTGTTCCAACCTTCAACTTCAGTTCATGATTTGGGACACCAGAAGCTCGTATGTTGTTCAAGAATTCCGGAGAATGTAAATCTGACAAAAAATCTGCATTTGAATCAGATTTACACACTGTATCAGAGCTAAAGTAGCTTTTCGCTTCTCCAACGTTGTTCAATGATGTCATGTAGTCATTGATTTCATCCACAACGTCTAGAGTTGGGGCAAGAATGGCTCGATTCTGCAAATATGTTGGATCACTTGCAATATTATGGAAGTCTGGATACGTTGAATGAACTATAGTTCCTATAGGATCATCCGTGCTTTCTAACGACATATCGTCAGGGATAATAATCTCGCTTGATCCGTCATTCTCATCTCCAGCCATGCCATCACCGATCTTTGCCATCCACTCACCAAATTCTGACATGCTCTCGTAATTTTTATCGCGAGACATATGTTGCAAGCGCATGTTTTTTTGTCAATCGTAACACCGTACAATGGTTCCATAGATATGATGAGTTAATGGCCGCATTGACAATGTCTTGTCTTCTCCCTTTAGGAATGACGAGTAGAATTTGCCGAAAATCTCCACCAAACACAATGGTTTTCCCTCCAAAAGGACGATCAGCATTAGATGCATCAACAACAGACATTACATCGCGCAGACTTCTATCTAGAGCTTCGAAACAATACTTATGTGTCATTGGTGCCTCGTCCAAAATAATTAGTTTCGTTCTAACCAATAAATCAGCCAACGGTGTTCCTTGTTTTATATTGCAGGTGGAATTTTCATGAGGACTGATGGGTATTCCAAATCGTGAGTGTGCAGTTCTTCCACCGGGTAACAACAATGAAGCGATACCACTTGATGCAACATTTAATACAATATCTCCTTTGGATCGAAGGGCAGCAGACAATGTTTTCCAAACAAATGTCTTTCCAGTTCCACCATATCCATATAAGAAAAAAACTTTCCCCTCGTCCAAGTCGACAGAAGACATTACACTTTCATAAGCTGTACGTTGTTCGCTATTCAACAATGTCAAACAATGTTTGTGTTCAGATGCCATTGCCACGCGATCATATTGAAGTTCGTCAAGGATGAGCCGGTTCCGGGTAGTAGTCGCGTTGTCTAAATTGGGGAAAGGCATATCATCGAAGTCTCGCAGACTTTTGCCACGCATTGAAAGCAACATTTGAACTTCAATCAAGGCATAATTCTTGATTTGATCCTCGGTTAAGGTCAAACCTACACATTAAAGAGAAAAATACATATGAAAAATGGTTTTATGTACAACACATATAAATATAGTTAAATAATATTACCTTGATGACTTAGAAGACAACGTTGGCGATGTAGTATATCATCGGCCATGAATTCCCAACATTCTTCCCAAACATGTTTTGGTCTAGACATTGATTCGTTTGTGAGGAGTGTTACGAGTAAAAACCTCAATTGATTTGCTGAACACCACTGACTTGCTTCTTTGAATCCATCGATGTACTCCCTATCATCATCTAGCAATCCCATAGCATAATATGCATCGCGATAAGTCTTGTGAACAACACCATTGACAGTTTTTAGATCTTCGTATGATGTAGGGCCACGGATTATGTTCAATAAAATTCTCATGTAATAAGATTCTCCAGAACCTGGAGGAACATAGATAACACGCCCTATAGCAAAACCTTTTAATCGAGGTTCATACTCTCTCTTACCAGCCTTCCAAACAAACTTTTGAGGAAACTCAGCATAAGTTAAAGTCTTTGCCAAAGGATATTTTTCATTCGCTTTCATCCATGCAAGAAATTTACTTTCACGTATGCTTTCTCGAGTGTAGACATCACTTGCATCATCATCGTCTTAAAAAAAATCCATTGCTCACCTGGTAAGTGAAAGCTTAAGCGTTCAACGCTGGGACATTTATATTGAATCGAGAATCCAAATATTCGCCACGTTGCCTCACACGGATAAAGCAGACGTTCCTGTGCTTGCATAAAATCCAGCAGTGACGCGATCATGCTCTTTGTTTATGTACTTGAATAAGTATTTTATAGAACGCGATTGATTGCACCATTCTACATTTAAATGGGCCCCATACTTAAGCAAGAGATATCGATTGTGAGGAACTACAAACCTATTGTCCAACTGAACACCATTCTTCAAAATTGTTCGTCCATCATTTCTTCTCCTATAATTTGGATATCCATCCTCGTCAATGATGGTCTCTTTGTTGAATAATTTAGGAAAATATTTAGAACACTTTCCTTCTTTCATGCAAGGAGAATTTGGTCCAAGGGTACCACATGGACCATGAATCATAAAGTCACGAACTGCATTGAAGTATTTTGGATCACTCTCTTCATCAGGCAACTCTGCAGAAATGATTCCATCAATATCTTTAGGCGTTGGAAATTTATCTGCCTGTCCCAAAAACAATAATATGTGCGCATGGGGTAAACCACGTTTCTAGAATTCCACGGTGTAAACAACTGCAACCCAAAAAATAATTTATGAGTATTTATAATTTTGGAAAGCAGATTGAAATGACGTAATAAAACTTGGGAATGTAATTAAGGCTTGTAATCAACACTTGCTCTAATTTTCCCGAATATTTCATTCTTCTTCAAATCTCGAATCAATCCGTTGAGTTTGATGTTAAATATTCTCGAAGCAATGTCAGGACGATCTTCTGGCTTTAAATTACGACCACACAGAAAGTGATCTATTTCCGGCCATTTCGGATTACACATGAATGTAAGAAACAGATCTGGATACCCTGTCCAACGGCATATCGCCATGGCATCTTGATAGCTCTGGATCATGTAACGTGCGCCTCCGACAAACATTGCGGGAACAACAATTCTTTTCCCTTTTGTCATTGTGTCATTGTCACCATTTAGCAAGGAATCTGAGAATCTATTATACATCTCACATCGAAGTTTCTTTTGATGCTTGCTAATATACTTCAATCTTGATGACTCGACCATCGTATATCCATCAACACACAACTCTTGAAATAAACGACGTGAATGTAAAATGGAAGAACTTTCTTCATCCCTTTCATGTAAACGATAGGAAAGAAATTCTCGAATGCTGACACTCCTGCGTCCTCCGACATTCAATAAATTATTCTCAACAAAGGGTATATCTTCGCGATAACCATCATCTCCGTATGGAAATAATAAGGGATATTGTAGACTCAAATAAGCCGGATTTAATTCGCTAATCCTTTTCAATGGTCCATGATTTCTTTGAACCAAAATATCCCTCTCACCCAAAGCTTGATCTAAATCACCAACCACTAAAGCGGCTACCTCACCAACTGATGGTAAATTGTACAATCTTGGATTAGAAGTCCTCTTTCCAATTAGCTTCAAAGTTAGATTCAATTCAAAATCTTGGCTTATTTTTTCTCCAACCATTCGAAATGACTTCACCAAGACATTGTGAGTATCCAACATTTGCCTAATTTTAGCAACAATCTCGATATGTAATGAGTGGACATTCTCTTCTTTCCTATATATAAATGACATATGTAGCTATTAAAATTTAATAATGTACGCATATGCGGGGGGTTTTTGAACGATGAAGTGTTATAACTTAACGTCACTATAATGTCAAGTAAGACAATGTAAGTACATACCTCACAGAGTGGATTCTATTGAAATCTTCATTTTGCGTGTCGTAAATGTAGAGTTGAGCAAATTTAGGGACTATCCCATCTCGGGGCACCAAACTGCCAATCTTGTGAAAATTTTGTCCTCCAAGCTTAAAAGTTGGTGGACCTCTACCCGGGGTATAATCTCTAATAATCTTGCCACCCAAAGATGTGAAAGAGAACATGCAGTTATAAGAGCGAATATTAGTCTGGAAGTGCTTACTCTCAACATCTGTCCCCATAAGCAAATCCTTTAAAGGCATTGTTGGTTGCTTGACAGGGGCTAGTTTGATCTTTCCTTGTTTGCAACACAACGAATATTTTGGATTCTTCTTGGATGATTGACTAATAAGTCGTTCTTCCAGCCAAAAATAAGCTTTACAGTTTTTACAACTATAAAGGCAATCACCAACGTCCCAATACTCGACGTTGTGTAAAAGATTCCTCCGGGAAACATTTACTCGATGATTAGGTATAAAATCCTCTGCATCGATGAAATCCATTTCCAAATCTCTAACAACATCTGCATCAGCATCGAGATTATCTTCTGTACGAATATTGGCATCAACGTTCCAAGTTTGGGTGATGAATACGTCGATGAGTGGATCAAGATACATAAAGGAATTATTGTCTTCATTCACTGTTTGTTGTTTAAAGAATAAAGGGTAAAGAATTAATTAAGTATATTACATATAGAAATATAAATTAAAAAACATATATATGAAGGTGACTTTTAATAATAAGTTATTTACGCACCTTCAGCATCAACTTGTTTTCTTTTCCTACCAACGTTGTCTTGTGTAATGCAACTTTTTAGTAGAGATGTGTCTCGGATTGTTGAATTTAGCAATGATGAATTGCCATGAGTTAATGGAGTCGATGGTATACGATCAAATGGCGTTGTGACAACAACTATGAAATTCAATGCTTATAATAATGAATGAAATATAAACCAAGAATTTCAATACATACATATGTATGTATATATATATATACATATATGTGTGTGTGTTTGTATATATACATATATTATTAGGATGGACATACCATTTGTTAAGTTTGACAATGGGGAAGCAGTACACGTAACAGGGTTGGATGAATCTTTTGGTGATTCACATTGCAAGATAGACTTTCTCCTCAAGTTAGTATCACCAAAACTCGTAGAATTTGATTTATCTTTCGAATCATTGGATCTCCCATTTTCTATCCAAAACATTATAGTGATATGTAACAATTTAAATGAATTAATATAGAAATGAAGATCTTCAATTTGAAACTTAACAATAAAGAGCCAAGGAGTGACTATATATCATAAGCATATTTATCTTTATACGTTTAAAAGAAAATTCTGACACTCAAAGAATACTAACTTAGATTTTATACTTAAAAAAAATTAAAGTATTGTCTTGGAAGGCTTATAAAACGATGTGTCATTAAATTTTGAAATCTCATAACAAAACAAATATTATCACCGTTATCATAAAAAGCATTCGATACAATGAAAACAAAATTCGTCCATAGATTGATTCGCATGCATGACATTACCAGAATTTTTCAAAATGATACAGAATCAAAACATAACATCTAACATATGTAATGAAGAACGCAATGACGACAACATAATATATAACTTTTTTAATGAAGAACATAAAGATCGTTGAAATATTTCTTGTTTGGAGTTTTAAGTCGCTTAGATTGTCGGCGTCTGGGTTGTGGCGTTATTGGTGGTGGTAGTCTCGCACAATCATCAAAAACAAAAAAAATCCCCATCCAACATCCCCAATTTGCATGCACGAAAGATGACCACGTACGGCAAAGCATTTCCAACACGGTTCCATAAAATCTGAGTCTCGCTTACTCTTGCACTTGTAACACGAACGCGACCAACATCCAATTCTTGCTTAAATTGTGAAATAAATACAGTTCTAAAATTTTATTCTGTTCTCTATCCATATTAATTTATAGAATATAATTTTTATCATCACTATTTTTTGTTTGTAAATTCGGCCCATACAAAATTAATAATAGCCCAGAACATCAATTTTTGAAAACTTTCTGCCCCAATTAACGCAGCCCAAAACTAAATATGCTCCATATTTGAGTTAACCTGTTCGTGATATACAACGGACCACACATTTACGCCGCTAGTTTCTGCCTTATCCCCTCTCTAAACTATCGGCACAACCGGTGATTGATGCAGTGAGATCGATCGAGAGCGAGAGAGATGGTAAGATAGAGAGAGCGAGAGAGTGTGTGTGAGAGAGCGTGTGTGTTTCAGGCCTTAGGCCAGAAAAAACCTATCCAATATGTGGAGAGATTGAGAGATAAAGCGAGGGAGAGAGGTTCGAGAGCTCATCAGATTGAGTGATGGTGTATATCTTCCCATGGAATTCATCCGTGCAATCACTGGTATTTTCCCATGTAGATCTGATTTTTGGTTTTTCACACTCTCATCTAAATTAGGTAATGAACTTTTTTTAGATCCGTAAATTTCTAAATATATTGAAAATGTTTTATTATTTTTTTAAGTTCAAATTAATGAAAATGATTAGATCTAATCTAAAATAGTCATGCATCCAGTTTAAATTTTGTTTTAGATCGAATTGATTTGATTCCAGTTTCAAAAAGTTTTAATAATTCTTCATAAGTTCAAGTTAATTGAATAAATTAGATATACTTTTAAAGAACACTGCATGTTAATTATTAAAAACCAATTTTAATTCAAATATAATTTATAAATGAAAGTATGTATTACCTTTGAAATATAGCTGATTACAAAATATTTTCCCCAGTTCGTAAGTCCAAATTAGTTTGATTTGAAATTTCGTAACATCAACTGCTTACTAAGCCGGTAAATTTGTTTTTATATTGGTGTTACTAATGAAATTGATTATATGGGATTATAATCGGTGGAAATGTTAATATTTTAGAACAAATTATAACTTTTTTAGTGAATAAGATAAAATATTTTTATAACTTTTGGAATTATAACTGAATAAACCCTTAGGTCAAAATTATTTTAAGAAATTACATGTCTGACATTATTTATAAGTTGTACTCGGGTATATTTGTTTATAAAAGTTACAGATCAAATGCTTTTGATAAAACTTAATTCTAATTTATTTTACCTGATATATTGGAGTGTACATCCAAATGTATATAAAGTTATTAAACCTTTTTGGACATGTTCAAGTATTATGTTTGAACATGTAAGGGTTTAATTGCACATTTGAAAGCATTTCTTCCACGGTTGATCATTTCAAGGAAATTTATCAAGGAATCAAAATACTCAGGAATTAAAATTTTATAATTTTATGTATTAATTACCTCTATTTTACATATTATGTTTATCCAATGAGTATGAGTCTGATTATGAATGGGTAAAATGATTTTTTAATTATTTATTCTTGGACCTTAATTGAATTATATATTGATTTTAATATATTTTTACCCTTGCATATAATTATTTTTACGTCATAAATTACTAAGTAAACTTCACTTCAATATCCAATTTAATGTATTTATGCATCATACCTTTATTTGATTCATCATCCCTCACTATCTTGGAACTATTTGTTGCACTTTTTGTGAGCTTTCTCATTCAAACAGAATTCCTGAATTAACATGTTTAATTTTAATGAATGATTAGAACCATTTTAAGAAACAATGATTTCATACTCTTTGTAAAAAAAAGTGAAATTACGTTTTTAATTTTTAACAGTATATTTCAATTTTTGCAATGATGCATTCAAAACAGAATATTAAGGTGTTATAGAATATTTATAATTTGGTATAGTAATAATGAAAAAAGAAGAAAGAGTGTTTTCTCACCTTGAAAAAAGAAGAGTGTATTGAATGCGGTATTATTGAATGTGGTTGGTGGTGTAGTTGTATGCAATTTATTGTGGTAAGGAATAGGTTGAGAGGTTGAGAGATAAGTAATTAGAGATGTGTAGTGAGAGATATAGATGAGGAGAACTTAGGGTAGTACCAACTTAGAACCTAAGGCTACATACTTTAGAGGTGTATTGCTCTACAAAAAATAATCACACGGTTTATACTCTATTAAATTTATACGCAGTATATATTTAGAGCATTTGAACTATAATACATTTATACTGAACAATATAAATTTTTCACTGAAAAAATTTCATGTAATATATTTATAGTTAATTTAAAGGGAAATTTTTTCAAGTTCTCAATTTGATTAAAATATTTCAAAAAATAAAACATGAATAATATTTTACAGTTTATATATATATATATATATATATATATATATATATATATATATATATATATATATATATATATATATATATATATAGGGGCTGGTTCCCGTGAGAATGCACCTTGTGGAAAGAAATGAGAATAAAATCTAGCCGTCGGATTTGATGCATCGTGCGGCTCAGATTGCATCCTGCGCTCAGATTTTGAGATAGTGCATTTTCGAAGGTTTATGGTGCATTTCGACGTGATGCATTTTCGCACCATTTTGGTGCATCTAATTTTGATGAAATCTTGACCCTTAGATCTCACAATCTAAAGCACCAGATTCATTCTCATTTCTCTCCTAAGATTGCATTCTCACCAGAACCAAAATCTATATATATATATATACACACACACACACACACACACACACAGAGCAAGTAAATACCAATTAGCGTATTAAAATGTTATTTTAATATTTAATTTAATAAATATATTTTTTAATAGTTTAGGTATAAGGCAGTTATTATTAAAAATAAAATGCCTTTGATGATAATACTTTTCCAATTCCTAATTAACTTTTTTCAAGTGAAATACTTTTTTTAATTACAAAATTGATTTTTAGTATATTAAAATTTATCCAAATCTTTTTTATTAAATCCACAGAATATTAAAAAATATTTCTATTTAATATTTTAAAATTTATATTCCGTATTTTATATGGTAGTAGGGCATTGCTTGTGGATTGGAACTGCTTATGTAATGATGTAGCTGTTTGTATTTAATGCTCTGTTTCCCGCGCTTTCTTAGGTATTAGTAACTTATTAAATTGTTCTCAACCCAATGTAATTTCCAGCCGCCGTTTGAGATCCATGTATGCATTAAATGCCTTGTTCCCCATGCCTATTCTCAACCATTTAAAAGAGTATTAAATAGTAGGTTACATAATGTCTAATCCAGCCACCGTTTTGCGTGCTAGTGTAACAGAGCACCCATTAAATACTATTTTTTACTAAATGCTTTTTTTAATAAATTCAGCAGCCATTTTTAATACCTCAGCAGCCGTTTTAAATACTCGGATTTATTAAAGACTTTTTTTAATATTTATGTATTAAATTCAAATTATTAATTATATGAAGATAATCAATATTTTATAAGTATATAATTATTTATAAAAAAATTCTGATTTTTTCAAATTTGCATTCAAAAGATTACTTTAGAAGTTTAGATGGCCAAATATTCATGCATAAAATTGATTGTAGGTCTTCATTTATTCAAAAAAGTCCAAAAATTGTTTTTCTTCTTATTGATTTTCACAAAGAACAATTACAAATTATAGAAAGTTTATAGCTATTTTCCAGCTAAGTTATTTTCAACTCTCTACGTTTTTTTACTATACAAAAAAATTTAGATTCTGTTTAACAATATATATAAAGGGTTTTAATCACAAATATGCAACAAAATGGTAAAAATTATGGAGTATATTTTTAGAGGTTATTAGTTCATTTTATACTGAGTTGGTTAGTATATTTTTAATAGGGTTAAAAGTAGAAACTGTTAAAGTTGTTTAGATACTCAAATATTCGTTAGAATATTATAATTTAGATTATAAACAACTTTATAGATAAAGGATTAGAAACTTTAGAAGTTTAGATGGCCAAATATTCATTCATAAAATTGGTTGTAGGTCTTCGTTTATTCAAAACAGTGCAATAATGGTTTTTCTTCTTATTGATTTTTACAAAGAACAATTTCAAACTATAGAAAGTTTATAGCTATTTTCCATCTAAGTTATTTTCAACTCTCTACGTTTTTTTATCATACAAAAAAATTTAGATAGTGTTTAACATTATATAGAAACTGTTTTAATCACAAATATGCGACAGAATGGTAAAAAAAGATTTTTTTAGAGATTATAATTCATTTTATGCTGAGTGGGTTAGTATATTTTTAATAGGGTTAAAAGTAGAAAATGTTAAAGTTGTTTAGATACTCAAATGTTCGATAGAATATTATAATTTAGATTATAAACAATTTTATAGATAAAGGATTAGAAACTTTAGAACTTTAGATGGCCAAATATTCACGTTTAGGAAAGATTAGAAACTCAAATATCTCTATGTTTTTTTACCATACAAAAAAAATTTCAGCCCAAAATTTGTTAATTTTCTTTCATTACAGTTTAAATAACTTGAAGAGGCATAATTTTTCATACATAAATAGCCATTCTTATTCAAAACACAACTAATATATTAATATCCGATTGAAGTACATATAAGAAAATTTCCAGTTCAACATCTGGAAATACCCCATCGTAGCAAAATATTAAAATCAACATAATATAATATCCAGATAACAAACTGGATATGCCACAAATATTTCAGAAATTGTCTAAACCCCATAGGATAACTGGACAAAGTCCAGGAATGTGCAAAAAAGACAAAAAACCAAATCATGTTCTTCCCCATGGGTTTCAATCAGTACAGATTTCCAAACATTCATTTTTCCAAATGCTCCCTTTTCACCTTCTTCTTGGAAGTTGTTGTTGAGAGCTCGTCAAGAAGTTGTCTCTTAACCGGATCATTCCCTTCAATAGCATCCATCTTCCTCCGTGAAGTCGCCTCGCCTTGGCTAGAACTTGGGTTGTTTGATCCAATCTACATAGGAAAATAAAATGTTAGTGGGACATTATAGTGTTTATTAGAAACCGAATAATGAATCTAAAATTGCATAATAAGGTTAAAATTTTATACCACTGTTTCAACTTTTTGACTAAGATCTTCAAGAGAATTCCACAAATCAACATCTTCCTTTGAGTCATCATCAACAATGTCCAAAACATGTTCATACTTCTTGAGAATTCTTGGATCCGAAACAAAAGACCGTACCCCAAAAGTTCTGGGACCGTTCCAATGAGGACTACCCCACTCGGACTTGACAACAACATTAAACAAACCTTTTCTCCCATTTAAATGGTTCAGCTCTTCCGGGAACAAATTTGGGTCCATCTTTCTCTGAAACCATTAGATACAGAGTTATTCGTTACAAAATGCACTTTTTGCTCTAAATTTTTTAAAACATTTACAATGAAAATTTATAATACCTCAAGCATCATCTCTCTTACAAGAAGGGCACTCCCACCCAAAATGTCTTTGCACTCTCGGTCCCAAAGCATAAAAGAGGCATGACCGGTGATGTCAAAAACGTGGACATTAGCTTTAAACCTATACGTTAAACCGATAAAATATTAAATTCCCATCGCATTATATTATCATAGAATCTACTTCATAAGTTGTAGAATTAGTAAGTACGGATTACAACTTACTTGTAAACCCCATGCGGCATCCTAAGATCACATCCCGATCATGTAAATTGGGAACCATCAGGTATAACCTTCTTGTTGCATTCAGTGCACCCCAAGTAACACCAATCTGGTGTATTTTCAAGATATGAAATCTCACCAAGAATCCAATATGTCCCAGGCTGTTTAAATTAATATTAAAAATTATTTAAAAAAAAGTAAGTTTATATTTCGACAATCATGCATGTAAGATAGTACAAAGCTTAATATAAATAATTTATTTTTTAAAATCTAACCTTAGTTGTATCAATCAGAGTCTTCAAAGGGGTGATTTTTAGAGGCTCATTCACTTCTTCATTTCCACCATCCATCATCAAAGTAGTCAAGCTACTCACTGTTGAGGACTTGTCGTGCGGTCCAAAACAAATTAAAAATTTATAAATAACCTTAGCTAACCCCCAAAATAGAATCAAATAAAAACTATAACTAGGGCAAGTAAGGGTCGATCCCACGGAGAAAGTATGTACTTTTGAAATCATTTAAGCATGCACACACATTGTCACTAAACAAAACAAACTAACTACTACACATATGATAAGACGTATAAAACTTATAATAAAACTTATAACTAAATAAATATAAAAACTTATAAATATAACTTAAATAAACAAAGAACTTATAATATAACTTAAACATAACAAAGGGGGGGTTGTTGGATAAAAAGTAAATATTTTTTTTTGGTTTTTTATTTTTCTTATTTTTTTGATTTTTTGATTAAATGGGGGAAAACAAGCTCTAAAGATAATCATCTACTCCAACAAAAGTAACCCAAAAAACACCGCCAAGAACCCGAAACAAAATTAAAAAGAGAACAAATACAAGTCGAACATTACACGTATAATAGGCACGTAGACAATATATTACGTAACTTACGCACTTAAGAATAGAAAAAATCAATCAAAGGCCAAGTCGATTCATTTCCTTAACCACGATATGGAGGATTGTCAACTCTCCACACGGCCCGGAGTCATGCAATTAAAGGTCCATTTTGAAATATACCTTAGAACCCCAACTCACCAATCAAGCATGAAAACATACTTCCACTATAGAAAAAGTTTACATAAAAGAGCGAATTTTTTTCCATTCTAACTCTCATGCATAATCTATTCACAAACCGCCAATACCTTATGCATTTTAATAAACCTTTTCTCCTAATGATGAGCACATTTCACAGATTTCCATGAACTTCTCAAACCAATGACGTTTTTTCTATTCACATAAATGAACACACCATATTTTCAATAAATTGAGAATTGTTTTTGAGCTTAAACAACCTCAAATTAACGAAAATAACAAACAAACATACGAGAAAATACAAAATCACTCAATAACAAATTCTAAGAAAAATGAATCATCTTATGGAGCTAAGAAGTCCAAATTCCTTAAAATCAACGAAAACAATGCACAAAAAAGATTCACATATGAATTCGGAAATCATTTAACTACCTTATGGAGCTAAAATAGCTTCAACAAAAACCGAATTTCACATACCAACCTACTTATGAAATCAAATTATGCAATTCAACCAATTCAACAACAACTTGCTCATTAATTGAAGAAAACTAGTTTGAATCAATTCTCATTCATAAGGGATTTAATATAAACATTAAAAAAAACCATAAAAGAACACCAACCATTTTTTTAATATTTGGAACAAACACAACAAACAAAAAATGTAAAATTGAATAAAAAACAATCTTTTACATTGGAGGAAAAAATAAAAATTGACAAATAAGGGTTACCAATTGATGAAGAAGAAGATGAAATTGAAGAAATTGGAGCTTGAAGAAGACTGCCCACCACTCGCCGGAGCTTTTGCCGCCGCCGGTTCGCGTCTGCAGGCCGTCTGCCGCCGCGGCTAGGCCGCGGCTCTCTTGTCGTTGTTCCTCGTGTGTTTCCCCCCTTTCTTGTGTCTTGCGCTGCTCCAATTTATAGTCCGAGCCTTTCTTCCCGTTGAGAATTTCTTTCCGTTGCTGCATTGAGTGAGGAGCGGAGAAGAAGGAGAGTCGTTGGAGCGTCTTGGATTTGGTCTACGCTGCTCATTGATTTGGAAACGGAGACTTCATTTTCCCTTTTGCGTTGAATTGGAATGAAGAGAGGAGGCTGGGCTAATTTCATTAATGTTGGGTTTGGGCTCCGGCCCAAATTTGATCTCTTCTTTTCAAACTGAGCTTTAATTTGGCTTTTTGCTACATTTTTCTCCATAGAATAAGATATCTGATAATTTTAGGTTAGGAAAAATAAAATAAATAATAGAATGCAAAAAGAATGATTAAAAGCTACTATTTTTGAAAGAAAATAAAAAGATTGTAAAAAATAAGAATTAAAATAAAACTAAGCTAAACAACTAAAAATTAAATACTAAAATTATTAAAAATACCTAAAAAAGAATAAAAAGAACTAACCCAAAAAAGACTTATCACTCACATCATCAACTTGTAGAGGTAGGCTACAAAAAAATTATCTTTATTTAGAATTTTAATATACAAAGAGAAGTCATAAATACTATAGAGGATAGTTTCGTATGGTACCTATTTCGGAATTGATTAACTTCATCAGAGTTTCCATCGAAAATCATCTTCGTGACATGAAAAGATGTTGAAACAGTTACTGTGCCTGTCAAATAATTTAAATTAGTCCGAAATATATTAATAAACATAATTAACATTGAAACTGATTTTGATGAATATTGAGGAAAAGATTAATTACCCTGGTATCGCCTAGGCTTACAGAAGCTAAGAAGTAAGATAAAAGGTCCCGGAACACCTTGGGTCACACAATTCAAGAATTTCTCCACATACTCGCCCCATAGTGTGCAAGCCAAACGGTTGCCTCTGCATTTATTCGTTTACTTAATATCTTGTTAATAAATTGCTCTTATGTATTATTTATAAATATGTGCTCATACTCATGATCCTCAAGTGTTATTTCCATTAGCTTCTCTTCTCCACCCCGTTTAAAGTATGTTTGAACTTTTGATCGCCCAACAATTTTTCCTATGACATCTGCACAATCCGAAAAATGTATTAAAATATTTTATTTGACAGCAAATTTGATCAAGGTAAATATCTTAAAAAAAAGTTTCGAATGCATTTTTAAAATGCACAAATGTTTATTCCGAACGCCGCACGTGTGAAAAATATATATTTTCATTAGAACGAACAAATGTAAAAATTTATTTTGAATGAGAACAGATTTTGTGGAAGAAAATTAATTAGTTTTGTATACCGATGAGAAGCTGGTCGTTCAAACACGATTGAGATTGAAGGTCCAAAAATGATTTCAAATCGAACTTGAAATTGGGAAAATCTTTTTCACTCAAAGTCTTGACTTCTGTTTTTGGATAAAAAACCAACAAATATTTATGCGAAGTTGTTTTCATGATTGGTAATTATCATTAACAAAAACATTTCGGATTCCAAAAACGTCATCTTCAACAATTTGGTTTTCAAAACGCTTCTTTTCGGGACTCTTAAGTTGAGCATGAATCCTTGTTCCCTGCATAAAAAGGAGAAACATTTAGAAAATAAGTTTAAAAGAACGAAAATATTGTGTAAGAAAGTATGCTAAGAAATTACGCGTTCGTCGTGGAAGATGACTTCTAAGGATTCTCCGCCCTTAGACCAAGCCGGAACATGGTAAACGCGGATTGCTCGCAACTTAAGTATCCATCCCGTTTATTCGTTATCAATTCTGTCAAGCATGGACATAATGGTATTCTTGTTGGTAAGGAAGTTTTGTGGGTGATGGAGAATTTGGTCCTTCAACTTCGGTTAAATAATGTTCTTGGATAGGTGTGAGAATCTCTTGCATTTAATGTCTATGTACCATAAGATTTTTCAAATCCAAAGCATTAAATGCATCAGGAAATTGGGCTCCGAAAAAGCAAAAAAAGTGTGCTCACACGCCCCTATACTTATTTTAATAATTAAATATGCCGCTGCAGTCGTAAAAAGTGTGCTCACACTTACCATTTTTTTTTTTTAATAATTACCTATGCCGCCACCCTATGAAAAACAGCAGTCCTATTTTAAATCTAGTATTGTTAAACAGCCTGGCGCAAAACATTTGCTGTCAAATATCCGTACCAGGCCCATCTCAGAACCCAGCCCAATTAGCCCATATCCGGCCCATGAAATTTAGGCGGAAACAGTGTTCATTTTGGCCTCCTACCATTGTATATATGGAGATGGAGATGTTTGTAGTAAGCATTTGCCCACAAGGTCATGTGTCCCGGTGTCCGTATATATATATGTAGTTGCGCATATCACTTTTGACTGCCTTCCCCCTTGACTTTGTTTCAGCTTTTGCCCTAAAAAAGCACTGCCTTAGCTTTGCCTTCCCTCCTGACTTTGTTTCAATTAGCTTTTTTTACATAGATTTTAATATTGCTAAAATGCAAGTTTAGTCCTTTAACCCTTTTAGAGTTTGTTCTCATCCATTCTCTTCCAACTGATCTGATTGATTCTAATTTAGTTAAGTTCTGATCTGATTTGATTATAGTTATATTTAAAATTATTTTAGATTTAATTTGTTCTTATCTGTCGATTTTGATCCTATTTTTTACTCTCTCCGGTCCAAAAAACATGGGAGTTATTGATTTTTAAGAGATTGAAGGAAAGTGTATTTTGGTATTGAATTTCCAAACAAGTCTTTTGATGTGATGGGTAAAAGTAGGATTTGATGGGTAGATTATTAGTAATATGATGTGATAGATAGGATATGAAAAAATAAGGGGTAAAAGTAACTTTTTAATAGAAATAAGAATTGCTTTTTGGAATGGATGAAAAAAGAAAGGAGAAAAGTTTTCAGGGACGGAGGGAGTACTTTTTTGCTACTTTTGGTACCCTTTTCCTTAGGGGTGTGCGTTGGTCCGATCTAAACCCAGACCGGGACTGGACCGGGATCAAATAAGGCACTTTTCTTAGATCGGGGACTGACCCGAATAAGATAAGGATCGGCCTGGGACAGACCAGACCGGAATTGGACCGAATTAGGCTTTTTTTACTTTTTATTTTGTAAAAATTTAACTTGTAAAAAAGTATTAATATTATTAATTTGTAATGTGTATTACATACTAAACATTATCCATATATCACCATTATATAAAAATTAAATTTTTTTTAACATAGTATCAACACTATAATTAAATCATGCATATTATTTAAAATATAAACTTAAAAGTCAACAATAATATTACTGGAATTCTCCGTACAACATTGGATGATGGCAAAGATGCTTTAGAGATTATTGTAGATCACAACCCGACATTTAAATCTTGCATATATGTTTTTTAAGTAAATATAGTAAGGTTCTGTTCCATTCAACTTATTGTTTTTATTTAATTTGATTTTGATAAGTTCTGATCTAATCTGATTAGACATGATCTAATCTGATTGGATCTGATCTGATCTAGTCTGATCTAATTGGATCTGATTGGATATGATCTGATCTGATCGAGTCTGATTAATAATGATTTGATTTAAAATTCAAATCAATAATTGGATTTGACTTTATTCAATGTTTGAAAATTGTAATGATAATTCATATTATAATATAATCAATGTTTTTATTTTATGATTATTTTTAATAAAATAAAATTCGTTTATAATGTAATAATGTAATAATCATTCATATTATATAAAATAATAATGTAATATATTAGAATAATCTTTCATATTATAATGTAATAATATTTATTATTTTATGATTAGTTTTATGTGAAATTAGAATATTAATTTAATATTTTAATAATTACTTCATATATACATTAGAATGAATATTTAATTTAAATATACATTAAAAAATAATTACATTTAGATAATGAATATATATAAGAGATCGTATTTTTATTAAAATATCTCCTCATTATAAATGATCAAAACTTTAGAAACTCAAATTACAAGTACCAATAAAAATATATTTTAAAAGTAGAATTAGATTGACATTGTCAATATATTTTAAAAATAATTTTTCTAACGTCTAATAATTAAGGATTATTTTCTCAGTTCTCTATTTAACTTGTTTCTAAATTTTATTCTTTTTCATTTTTAAGAATAATAATGATCATAATAATAATGATGATGATGATGATGATGATGATGATCATGATAATAATAATAATAATAATAATAATAATAATAATAATAATAATAATAATAATAATAATAATAATGATTCATGGGAGCTGATCTGCTTGGATCTGATCTGATCTGATTCGATCTGATCTAATCTGATTCGATATGATCTAATGTGGTCTGATCTGATCTGATTTTAATAAAAATAAGAAAAAATAAGAAAAAATAAGTTGAACGGAACGAGGCCTTAGAGACTTCATTTAAAAGGATGTAAAAAATATTTAAAAAGTTCTTTTACTCTTCCCACAAAAAAATTATTTTTGTGATATAAAACAATAATGTAACATTTAACTAATCTTAAAAATATAGTAACATAATTTGTAACACAAATAAATAAAAAATTTCGTGATTTTTGAATAAAAAAGTGCGTAGATGATTAGGGAGTATTTCAAATCTATAATCACTCAATGATACATTTGTGCTGACCACCCTCAAGGCCTCACTTTTTCCAATCAAATTGAATTCTATCTCTTATGATAAAATAAAAAATCTTTATTTACTTTCTTTTTATATCTGGTAATTTTTTTAAAACTTTCGTTTTAATTTTTCTCCTTTTCTTTGTCTGTTTAAAACCTTTTTTTTGTCTTTTTGTTTGTTTTACTCGGTATTTTTTTTTACTTGTTTAAGTATCACAACAATAAAATAAAAAAACAATAAACTACATTAATTTAAAAAAAAGTAGATGATATAGAAATTTCCTACATTTTGGGAAAAGATGTTTGTTTTGACAAAAAGAGGGTTATTCTTGGAGTTGTATATATGGATTCTTAGTGTGAGTAGAATTATAAGATTTGTAAGTAAGTATGAAGAAATTAGATGCGCTCAAAATTAAAGAGATTAGATGATTTTAAAAAGGAAAGCAAGAAAGAGATGAATGTGATGAAAAAATGTTACATTGGAAAGTTTAAATAAGAGGGAGAAAAGTTTGAAATTTGAAATTATTGCGTTAAAAATTTTGGAACGTTATCGTTGAACAATAACGAAATTAAAAAAGGGGGAAGGCGTTCCATCCGGTGACCGCAGCCATGGCGTCGATCACACAGGCCGATCACAGGGGAGGAGGAGAGGGGTTCACGGTCGGAGAGTACTTGCACCACTGACCACGGGAGCCCCCTTGATGTATTACGCCGCCGGTCTAAGAGTTAAACGGTTGATGTTGAAAAATAAATAACGCAGGGAAACAAATCAAACAATTAAATTACTCCATTTACACGAAGAAGCACCATATACCTTTTCGAAACCCAAAAACATTTACTCCATATTTAAATAACGCAAGGCCTGACGTTTGAGCAATGCTAGGTTCACAAACAAAATAATTACAAACTTCACAAATTTACTATTTATGGTTTAAAAATTTATTTTAAAACAATTTGAGACCATTTAAATTTTTCCATTGAAGTTCACAAATAGTAATTTGTGAAGTTTCTGACCATTGTGTTTGTGAACCAAGCATTTCTCTAAAAACATCTTCATGTAAATTCTGTTAGCTTATCGTTTATTCGTACCTTTGTTCGAACCGAAATTTTGGAATTGAGAACGGTGTAAAATCTCATCAGGAGTAGACTACTTTGGCCTCACTTTTCTACTTTGGCCTCGCATGTCATCCTCAATTCACCATGCATAGACTAGAATACTAGATTGATCGTGTCACTCCTGGCCATCCTTCTTTTACTTTTTTAATTTTAATTCTTTTTTGACGAAAAATAAAAACTTCTTTAAGAAAGTAGAATTTTTTTAAAAAAAATGAATAGCAAAATTGATTCTTGGTAGTTAAAACACATTTAAAAAGGTAACAATTGTCAAAAATAAAGATTTGTCACTGCAGAGTTTGCCACTCATCTCATGTACCGCTTGCTAATTAAAGTATTTTTATTGGTAGAAATCAGCCACGTCAAGGTATGACATTTCCTATTTTTCTGATTATTGCCCATGCTCTAACAACATCACTACTCTAATCTCACCATCCCTAAATTTTTTTTCTTTTTCTTTGTCTCAAAGTTCCTCTCTTCTTTCAATTGAAAAACTATTTTTACCCATGCTAATTGTTAATTTACTTACCACATCAAACTTATTAATAACTAATAACGTGTCCATCATATCTTACTTTCACTCATTACATCAAAATAATTTTACAAAGTCAACACAAAAATATTTTTTTCCCAAATGTTTTAAAAATCCAAATATGAAGGATTAGGGTTGCAGGGAGTAATACTTTTGTCTTGGTTCATTAATATTCCATTTTGCTTTCATTCAAACAATTAAAATCATCATTGTATTTGGTTCAAGAAATTTGAAAGAAAAAAAAGAAAGTGACATGAAAAATGATTTTCCTGTTTGATTAGATAGGAAAACAAAAAAATGGAAGGAAAAAAAGTACAAAGTCAATGGAAAATAAAATATTGAAAAAAACGAGAGATCCACAATTTTTTCATTCCATTCAAATTCATTAAACTAAAAAAACGACGACTAGGTTCTAGAGTCACTCACCCAATTGGGATACCTACGATGCCCCGTTCGCAAAATTGATAGTTCCTACCCCCTCTAACCCCCCAGTAAGCCCCCCCCACCCGGTCCTGATTCCAACTCACTCCCCTAACCACGTCAATTGCGGGGTGCAAGTTTAGTTGACTTTGGAGTCAGTTCTTGACTTTAAAGTCAATTATACTTACAGGTGCAATTGACGTATGTGAGGGAATGACTTGGGATCAGGACTTGGCAGGGGGTTTACCGGGGGTTAGGAAGTGTAGGAATCATCAATTTTATGAACGAAGCTCCATAGGGAGGCAATGACTTCCGTGGCCACTGAAACTCAGTGGCCACCGAACCGGGCCCAAAAAACAAATGCAAAAGAGCATTCACATACACGCGATTGATATTCTACTTCTTAAAATTGTACGGTCTCAATTGGATTTTTAGAGCCTATTTGTTTGAGTTGGAGAAAAAGGGTCTAATTTCGAAAACAATTGAAATGAATTGCAAAAAACAAATGTGTAACATAGTGAAATGCAGCACTCAATGAGTAGCACTAGCACATCACTTGGGGAGATAAGATTTCGTTGAAATATGTGAAATTCATTCAACTCACTTTGGTTGCAAAGACTTTTTCCTTAGGCGCATGTCTCAACAACACAAAACGAGGGTTTTGCTCGTGATAAGATCTGACCAAACATCTCATCATTCTCATGACATACACGACCTGACGACAGACATGCAACACTTGTATGAAAGTAATTACCATCATGTTAATGAAATGTTTTCTTGTTATTCATATTTCAAGGGTTGTTGGAGGGTAAGGTTTTGCGCATTGTATTGAATTAAACCACATGCTCCACAGCTCGTGCAGGCCTTCGTCAACTCCTTTGAGTTTTCGTCTTATAAAAGTTGGAAAAATTAAATGAAATTATAAAAACTTAGAAAAAGTTTAAAAAATTAAACGGAAAGAAGTTTGAAATTCCTGGAATGAGTTGAAAAAATAGTGTAAAAAAATTTAAAAAAATTTAAGTTGGGTAAATTTCACAAATGGGATACGAACTTTGAACATAATTTACTTCGGTATACGAATTTCAAACCCTCTAACAAAAGTACACGAACTTACAACTTTCTTTCACTAAAAGTCCAATAGCAGGTTTCTAGGTGACGAGCAGGTCACCTGCGACCAAGCTATAATTTATAAATTTAAAGTTTGTGGTTTTGCCCTCGTTTCTTTTTTTTTTT